GTATATTGTTTTCTTGAATGCTCTCCTGCAGAGGGGGAGTGCTGTTTATTTTCGTTTTCTCTGGCAGCCCTGAGGGAAGTGACTGATGCCTCAGCCACAGAGACACTGCCTGAGGCCATCATATGGTGCCCTCCAAGGTTTTCCGATGCAATATGCATCCATCAGGATGTGTGTCGGAGTCTTAGAGATGAGATGCAGAGCAGCAGTACAGTAAGTTTTTATCTTGTATATACCTATAAAGATGTAGTTCTGACACTTTTTGGAAAGTTGTCCCCCCCCCCAAAAAAACTGATCCCCAACTGTGTATTATCTTAAAATGTCCACAGTCTGCAGTCTGAGTAGCATTACAGAAAGCTTCCCTAGCAATTGTGTGTCTCTGGAACACCCGGGAATTGCTGCTAACATTTTCATATCAAGACACAGCCAAGTCATCTTTAGTTCTGTAGCTGCTGCTAAATGACAATGAAAATCAGTTAACGTGTTCATGCCAAGCATTAAGAGAATTTACCATGGTGTCTGATTTATAATAATATCCCCTTGGTTTATGCAAATGGTTTTCTACTAGTATCTTGTAGCCTGGAATGAAGGTCTTCTAAAGGCAGGCCCCCTATTGCGGCGGTGTGATCTCATTTTCTCAGCAGAGAGGCAAACTGCTAGCCTCCTCTGATCCACCTGGCAGGAGAGGAGTTTGGACTGAGACGAGCTGGCCATCCCAATGACCTCTGGGTAAAATCTCTAGCTGTGCTGGGCAGGCAGCTGGCGTGGGCCAACGATGGGGCATAAATGACTGAAGCAATAGGGTTGTGATTAGCTGACATGGCGACTGGATTTTGCAAGCTGTCCTGTTCTCGGGTGTGGGTGGGAAAGGGGCAGAGCGGCTAAAATGGGAATGAATATATCGATCCCGCTGCCATTATGAGATTGATACACACATGCTATTTTTACAGGAAGGGGAACACACTGCTGGTGAAAGCAATTTGTATGTGACGTAGATAAGCTCCTAAAGGGTAGACTGACCCAGTAGGTGGGGGAAAAATGCAGGCATTATATAAAGGAATAGTGCAGCATTTTGGGATATACTCTATGCTTACTGGGTAGATGCTGAGTCAGCTGCTTACTTATAGCTATTATGGGTAGCTCATAGCAAGGGTTTGTATCAATATGGAAGTACCTATACACTTGGTGTTGGTTTACAGGTGAGAACAGTTCAGATTTAAAGCCTTTTATGGAAAGCCAGTGTTCACTAATAATAATAATAAATAAAAACAACACTGAAATTAATAATCATATGAATAAATTGTGTAAACTATATACTTGCTCAGACAGTTTGTGAAATAATTCAAGAAATATCAAAACTTAAGTCATTATTTTGAAATGGTATTTTATCATTCTTACTTAATAGAGTTTTTAGTGGTTATTTTTATTGTGATTATGGACATTATTATTTTAAAGTGCTATTTTTTAAAAGTCTGTTTTTATTTCATAATGCCTTTTTATGTCCCGTTACTACAGTAGCCTAGATGGGACATTATGCTCATGCTGCTGTCTGTGACACTGCAATAGACATGCTCTTGAGCACAGAAAGTCTAGAACAATTCAAAGCATAAACTCTATATTTATAGAGGAGATGGTCTGATAGGAATTTGCATAAATGTGCATTTTAATGAGGGGACTGATTTCCCTAAAACTGCACATTAACCTAACACATTCAAATTATTACCAAATAGATACCATTATGCAAAAAAGTATGTATGTTGTTAGAAAAATAATACAGTCATCATTAATAAACGGCCCAAAAAGCCTGTTTTGTTTAAATTAAGATCATATTCATAATATCAGCAGGTTTTATTGACAGTGGAAGCAATGCCAGGATTTAATGACATCAAAAACTATCAGTAAGTAACTTCACGTTAATGAATGGTGTCCTGTTAACAATGGAGAGAATTTCATGTCTAAATCTAGATTACTAAAGGTCCAAGTATCCAGAAATGAGGACTAACTGGAAGATGACTTGTATAAAGCTGCAAGTAATGGAGTCTTGTAATGTTTTTTCGAAGTTAATTCACTGCTCAGCACCTATAACGGTTAGATATTGTGTAGAAAATGACCAAAAACAGACGAATGTGGTCTTCAAATGAAGACATTTCACTTTCATTGTAAATTTTTTATCCCATTTGTGACACTTGTCTTCTACTGCTGTAATACCTCTTGTTCTACATTCAAGGTGGCAGTGGCCAGAGGATCCTGTTGGCTACACAAACAAGATGCTCCAGATGATCGCCAACAATGGGGAAACGCATGCATACGTTTTCCCTCTTCAAGAACAAATTGACACTACAACCTTTCTCTATTAAGCTGTGGATGGTAAGTTCACCAGAACAATGGAGACAATGGTATAATTTCATATAGATTTGTACAAAATACTCTCTGTCTTCAGAGGTGCTCTGGGTGGGCTTTTTTTTTTTAGGATGCAGTGTATGGGGTGGTGGTTTTATTGTATTGTTGTATGAAGGACGTCTTTGTTCTTCATGAATAAAGGTAGGTGACGCTAATCTCACTTGAGGTGAATTCACTAGCCTTTGTAGCACTTTTAATTACATTACAGGCTTTCTCATCCATTGTTGGCTTCATAACTAAATTTTGAATATAGACCTTGTGCTAGCACAGAGCTGTTAATATATTCCTGTATCATTTTGTTAAAGTAGAAATTGTATTGACTGTACTTGATAGTACTTTACCCGCTAGCACAGAGCTGTTAATATATTCCTGTATCATTTTGTTAAAGTAGAAATTGTATTGACTGTACTAGTACCTGATGCTCACTTGCTGTATTTTGGCAATATGCACAACAGTAGGACTAAGCATATTTTGCATAGATACAGTATATACACAATATTATGTAGCTAATATCCCCCACTATTGTTTCATGAAAGGCAAGTTTAACTGTAAAACTATATATTTCAACACTTCATATTAAAGACTGCACAATGTATTTGTTGAATACAGTACACCTGAAGACCTGAGTACATCAACTCTAGAACTTGAGAGGCACGCGGCCCAGTGAAGAAACAACCCAAAACGTTGTGGGCTCGCACTACAAACATCAGAACAATTCAGATGGTAAATTGTTCAGGCCATTGTGAAATGTTGCCTTAAATTCTTATATCTGTGGATAGCTTCTCAAAGTGAAATGTAACTTTCCTTCAGTTTAGTATTGCATAACCTCTAGAGTCCCTGCGTCCTCATATGAGGACCGCACAGCTTGGGTTTCCAAAGCTCAGGACTCTAGAGGTTAAATATGGGACCTTTTTTTGTTGTTTTTTTACAACCTTTTAATGGAAGAAACCTCTAACAGACTCCAGGCTCAGGGTCACTCCAGCCTTAACTATAAGCTTTATCAAAAAGGAAAGTCTTAAGTCTACTCTTAAAAGTAGAGAGGGTGTCCGCCTCCAGTGGTAATTGCTGGTGAATGTTCCTTATGAATGGTATGAAAGGATGTTCACTGCCCAGGTACAAATAATGTGCCCACTAAAAGCCTTTTGTTCAACATGAAGCAAACCTATCAAAACATGATGGGTTGAAATTATAGAGCATATCATGCTTGAACCCAAGCTTTTTCCATTTCCCCCTTAGGCAGTCCTTAACCAGATGTCATTCCGTGGCCAGACAATCGGCATTCTTGAGGACATGCATAGACAGGCAAGTTTGTTTATAAATGGACCGTTTTATTATTGAAATCAAAGCTTTACAAAACTTTTTTTTTTTCAGCCACACTATCCCAGCTCAGCCAGATGCTGAAGTTTTGGGTAAGATGGGAAATCCCTACTGGTGGGCTCATCAAGGTAGAGGACCTCACATTTTCTCAATGCTCTTGCACCGCATGTGCCTGGACCACAGTTATGAAGACTTTAGTCATGCAACTAAAAGAGAACTCAAGTTACATGACTGGAGAAGTCTTCACAACTGTGGTCCAGGCACATGCACAAAATGAGGTACTCTACCATGACGACCCCACCAGTAGGGATTTCCCATTCAGCACCATGTAAAAAAAAGAGGGTACACAGTGTGTGGCAGAGTGCATTTTTACAGGCCAAAACTTAACATCTGCTTCTTCACTGTCCACATCTGAAAAATGGTCCCTCTGAAATGACGTACATGAACATTCTCTTAATGACTCGAACTAAGCACAAGTTGCTTTACAAAACGCTTGTATTCAGAGGTGTTCCTAATATTCTGACCCTCGTGTATGTCAATGGGCAGGACAAAAAAAAAAAAAACATCTCTGAATGTAATGTAGTCCAGTACACCACCTCCTTTAACTATGACCTCAATGAACATATAATTGAATTTATGACAAGTCCCCTGCTCCCCCCCTTAAGGTCAAGTAATTTTATTTTCTCCATAGCACCAGATCACAGCACGGAAAAAGGCATGATGAAGAAAGCGGTGAAAGGTGAGGTGAAAGTTTACTCCGGTTAAGCCCACCCATGCTTTATGCACTATGTTAAATAAAACTTGCACAAGTTAAGAAAAAGCCAGTCAGAGTAATTAATCAAAACATCACTCCGTGGCTAAGTGAAACCAGCACGGTGGCAACATGGCGAAAGGTACCTATAATTACTGGTGTCATGGGGGTGGCTCAGGAGGATTCCTGGCTTGTCCAGTCAATGTGTGAGCGCTTGGTGAATGGCCAAGTAGGAAAGCCAACATAAAGCACAAATGCGCTGTATAAGATGGACACATTTAGAGAACTTGGCTTTCTTCGTCACCTTTCTCCGTGTTACCACCGCACTAGTTTTAGGGAGCTCTGTATTTCAGGCTTCACTTAGCCATGGGTTCAATGTTTTGATTAATTACTCTGCCTTTTTAAGCTTGTGTATCCTGAAATGGCAAGCTGGAGACATGCATATATAATATATAGACATATTACACATGGAGTAAAAAAATGTAGGTGGACTTACCCTGAGTGAACTTTCGTCTCACCTTACCGCTGTCTTTATCTATGCCTTTCTCCCACGTGTCTGTGCTTGTTTCAGAAGGCACACCACTAAGCCACGGCCTGTCCCTATCTTAGCCTATCAGCTGTTCCCAGCCTAGAATAGACTGTGGGAAAATTTTGTGATCTTCAATCTCTGAATGTGGTTGAAGGATGATGTCTGCTCCTGGCTCCCCTTTGCCATAGCATTAGTGTTGTACCTCACTAGGTGGTTAGCATTAAGGGCCTTGCTCAAGGACCCACAGCTAGAATTTGCACCCTGAATCCCCCCCACTCCTGCTGTACCAAAGTAGGCACGCCAATCAGAACTTTTACTGGTCTTTGCTATTGGTTAGTGTGATGACTTTTAATGTTTAGTCATAATTACGAGATCCGGAAATCAGATTCTTGTAATAGGTTAGAATATATTGGTGGCTATTCAAGAAGACATTCATTCCATAGTCCCATGAGACTGAGATTGCACAGGGATTTAAATCACAATTGCAAAATGATTTATCATGCCCTGACAGGGAACTGAACCCTGACCTGCCATACCAAAGTCAGTGGTGTTAAGCACTGAGCTATCCACCTGCTGTGTAGGTACACATTTAGAACTTTTACTGGTTTCTGCTATTGGTTAACGCATCTTAGCAATGGAACGGGGGTAAGGCACACATTTTAATTGCTTAAAAAAACATTAAAATTAACATGGCACCACACAAACGAACACACAGACAGCAACAGAGTAACACGCACACAAAATAAACACCCAAACATGCACAGCCAAAGCAATACAGTTTTGCACAGTAACACAGAGGTACATAGCACAGTGACAAACAATGGTAAAATTGTGTTTTGTGGCTGTATTAAAGTGTTACCATATTTGGAACACGTTCATAATGCAATGTATGAATGGTTTTTCGAGGGATCACCACTCACCAAGTATGAGCACGGTACCAATGAATCATTGTAATTATGTAATCATTTTACAATAGCAGTGTAAGATGGGCAATGTCACATCACGATCCCTTTTGCAGTGCCACAAACCTGTCGTCACTGCCCTTTAGTGCCCAGGGGAAGTGAGCTGTTCCTATTGGAATGCTGAAGCCTGCTAACAGAGTTCAGATGAGGCTTATTCTCACTCACACCACTCACTGAACTCTTCCACTCTTTTTGCATAAAGTAATTGCTGTCAGGGAGTGTGCACTGCAGAGTTGCTTGGGCTCCACGAGCACACAGGGTGAGATTAGGGAATAAAACAGCTAAGTCAGTGCTACTTGGGCACTCTCAGATCCTGCATCTGTCATTGTGCTGCTACAGATGAGGACTGACAGTGATGAATATTGGCCAAAAGTTGGTATTCCACAAGATGATTTTCACTAATTAGAATTGATGAATGTGGAAGGCAGCGACTCAGGATTGTGTGATGAGAGGAGGGACCACTTATTACAAGCCAGTCATGCCAAGTTGAGCGGCTTTACGGTGGGTAGGACTGCTGGGCTGAGTTACGCCACTACAGTAGTTCTGAAAAAAAAAAATAGTTGATATTCATTGATCAGTACTGTCTCACACAAGAATGTCAAGTGAGATTAATCCATAAGAAGAAAAAAGGAAAACTCTTCCCTGTGCGCAAACATTTCGCAATACTGTCCACATAACAGTGCATTTATTAATTGTGCATCAGCTCCCACGTTATCAGAGCTCTATATCAATCTCCGTATCCATATGCATGAAGCTGTAGCAAAGACCTGGGTGTGGGACAGTTACAGGCCTCTACTATCCCAGCTGTAGCCACGTCAGCCTGAGACAGGGAGCACCGGTCTAGCAGATGGCAGCGTGGGCTTTGAAAAGCCATGGCCCTGAACGAGCCCCAGGCAGCCCTGGAGGCCAGCGCTCCGCCAAAGCTCCACACGTGGCAAGCCAGGAATGACATTAAGTGGATAATAGTTAATAGTGAACCAGGTCATTTACTATCATATGCATACTTTATGGAGCACAACCACCACTCCTGTGTGCAGAAGGGGCCATAGCTAAGTGCAGGTTTAACTTTTAGATGCAGATAAAAGTGCTAAATGATCATGCAGAGCCATTTGCAGACTGTCACACTCTTGAATAAACATTGTGCAATACTTCAGGTGATTTAATAGCTTGTTGTTGGGTTGATGAGAAAGCATATTAATGGAAATGTGGTTCTTCCAGTCATATGACTGACCACAGAATATGGCCTTTCAACATTTTCCACCCTTGATGTTATTGCCTCTCTCCTTTACTAGACTCATGACCATGTGATGTGTCACTCCACTATGGTTAAGTGTAGATGAAGAGATAGCCTCTTTAATATCCAGGAGCTCATTTCACAGTGGCTGGCAGGTCACAGCATGATGACAGCTAAACAAGCCAGCCGACAGGACAGAACATACGCCATACTGAGCATGTTGACTGAGGCCTGTAGTGCAGTGCAGATACCAAACACTCAAGAAGATACAGTTACACAGTCATGCATTTGTGATTTGTTCTGGTATACATGTCAAAATGAAGACGCATTAAATTGCTAACCACAATAACATCCAGTTTTGACTTGCAAATGGCCTCCAGCAACCACAATATTGTGAGCCGCACTGTGTAACGTCACTGTTAAGGACAGTCTGAATGTTTTCTCTGTCTCAGTGATAGGCTTTGTCACTGGCAGATGCAAAGCAGGGATATCTAGGGACACATAATAGGATTGCCTTGTCTACATTGTATTTCCTTTCAAAAGTGAATTAGGATATCTCTTTTCATCACAAAGTGAAATAATGTATCCAATAGGTGCATTTAACCACTTTGTGTTTTATTCATAATTGGATTTTAACAACAGGTTCCTTCAAACATCTCACCATCTCAAATATTGGATTTTTCAAATACTTTTATTCATAAAAGTCCTCTCTTCATTCCCTTCCTGTTGAAATGACATGGTTTTTAATCAGCCAATGGACAAAATGTCTGACTGCACTGGAGTCATTAAACTTGCCTGCCTCTACACAGACACATGCACACATCTTACTGACTTCACAGCCTATTAAAAAGATGGAAGATTATGATCTAAATGAAGCCATTAGATACGCAAACCTAATGATCATCTTATTTGTATGTATAAATCTGAGCTATTTTCCTTGCTCAAGGCAAATATTTCTTCCCTCAAATGATTTTGAAGGAGATGAGTAAAAACAACAGCATCATCAACAACAACAACATCAGGACCCATAATGAAAGGAGCAGAGGCAAAGGCACTCAGACGATTGCATCCATTACCCCTCTCCACTATATGGACCCCTTCATAGGGATTACCCCTGGTTCCAGAGAGGTTGATTATTAGACGCTGGCCAAGGTTTCGTTTGAATCGCCCCAGTCAAATGAGAAATTGCAGGCTGAGGAGAGAGGCTAATAACAGTTATTAACCCCGTGCGGGCGGTGGTGTAAAAGAGCGCCACAATAACGAGGTGCACCACCAAGGTTTGAGGTGCAGCTAGCACACCCCCGAGGAGAAACTAACTTATTAAAATAATGAATTAGCTGACCAGATTACTGCAGCCTGCGGCAAAGGCAATTATCCCCCTCCAAATCCCTGGACAGGGCTCCCTAGCGCCACCATAAAACAAGTGCTCAGAAAGCAGGAACCCTCCGCTCCACACAAATGAATAGCCTGTTAATTAGGATCTCTCCCGCTGCGGGTAGCCTTCCCACTGCCACAACAGAAGCCACTTCTACAACAGGGAAAGGAGGAGGGGAGAAAGTATGGGAAATATAGCGAATGCAGGTGACTGCAAAAGAGAGGGAGCTATGTAAAAAGTAAGGAAGTGATAAAGAGTCAGAGTGAATAATAGAATAAATGTCCAGAAAAACAAAACAAAAGATCTCAGATAGGTTAATAAATGAAATTGTTGGTGACTAATTGTGAACTTTGTGTGAAACCACCTTGGAATCAAACAGGAAACATTCAGCCTAAACCCAGTGCAGTCTCCTAACCTAAACGTTTGATGGCTTTACTGTACAAGGTCAGCAGTGAACCAGTGTTGCCTGAGGATCATTGCCTTCCTTCACTAACCAGGTTTCTTAGGTTTCATTCCAGGGCTAAACTGTGCACTCAAGAACCATCTTTAAATCCCAAAATATTTTGAGTAAGTGTAAAAAGTAATAGAGATCATTTACAGCAGCCAGGTTAAGACTTAAACCCCTGGCAAGGAAAAACAGTCACACAAGGATGAAATTGAAGTAGGCCAGTGTCCACCCTGCACTGTTCTTCATGACATATATACAGTGCCTAATGGTTATAAATACTAAAGTATCACACAGTTGACATGAACCAAATCTGGTCACCTCCCTCTGTCACCTTCTAACTCCACATCAGTAGAAATCACAAAGTTTTGAAGGCTGGGCTCACCTTGTCCTGCATAGCTATACTTACACAGAACAGGGAGACAGTGTAACTGTCCAACTAGAAACTGTGCCAGAGGGATGGCTGCTGCACATACTGAAGCTACTCACTCAAATTTCACTTATAAAAACTGTGTGAAAAAGATACATCTGCTCTATCAAATCAAATGTATTTTTATATAGCACTTTAAAAACAACATCCAGTTGACCAAAGCACTTTACATAGCAGAATAAAATCACAATAAATGACTAAAATAGAATAAATAAGATCAGTGCAGCTCTACATTTGAACACTTCAACCAACTTGAGAAGTTTGTTTCTGAACAGCTGCTAGTGTTCATGCAAAACAGGGTGTTACTGAATCTCATCCTTTTCTTCCTAATGTCAGTTACGCTTGGGTATAATAAGCCACTTATTTTAATTTAAAAAAGAGGGTGCTATTTACATTACAGTGAAGTGAATTACTTTTACTTGACAGCATACAGTGCTGTATGTATACAGTTATTTAAATAAATGAAACATTATGTATTAATAGGTTGTAAAGCATACTCTTTATAGTGTGATCTGCTCCCAAGAGGACGATTATATAGTCACACAGATATGCAGGGCACGAAACAAGACATTATGCCAGTGTACTATATGAATATGCCTGCAAGGCTTGACATGAATGCAATTTCATGTAATTTGAATGCCTTTCATGAGGCGAGGACTCTTTTGAACTGTCTTAAAAAGCTCATCCACTATGGTAGCTGCCAGTGGCCCTCGGTACAGAGGAGTCATGTCGACAGGCCCAATTAATGATGGGGCGTCTGAGAATGAATGAATGAGGAGCTTTGAGAGGATTCCTCCACCTTAAATCCCCCTGTGCTGCTGCTCCCAGACTGCCTGTGAAGAACAATCAAATGGCAGCAGCCCCCTCCTATTTATCACTTTAAGACATTAGCCAGACATGGGCCTGAATATTAACCAGCTCCTTTTCCAGGAGAGTTCCACACCAAAGGCTGCGTGTGGCAACATACATTTTTAATCACAGGGGAAAATAAAGCCTCTCAGTCACTCATCTATTTTTACGTGCATAACTCCCTGCATTTCTTTCTCCAGGGCTCTCAACACAGGAAACAAGTGACCATTGTTGTTGCTCTTTC